CTTTGCATATACAAGAAAAAAAGAAAGAAAATAATTCTTGAGGTGATAATAAAAAGACTAAACGGGAGTTATAAATAAATTAAGCATCTTTTATCAAGCGTTATATAAATCTCTAGCAATTGAAAAATAATTTGGTCGAAAAATAATTTGATAAATAATTATAAAAAGGAATTAATTAATTTTTCGTAACAAGTTCAGATATCTGTAATTCATACTATTTATGATAAGAAGAAAAAAGTAAGCGGATACAATCGGAACGATATTTATTACAGAAAGATTACAAGATTATATTCAGGACTATAAACATTTTAGACGCGGCCCATGCGCCGTGATTAGGACGCGAGGGTTTTCCCGTTTAATCATGAAAAATATTATTTACATTGCACATATATCACTAGCGTTACTATCAGACGAGCGGACAGTTGGTCGTTGAGAACTCCCCGCGAAAGGCCGTTCCGAACGAAAAGAATACAACCTCATCTCAACACGATCGTCTTCCCCGACGCGTAAAGAAATGATCTCAAGAGGATTTCTAGCGTAAAAATGGTCCCTTTACGCGATCGAGTTATCGCTTCGTGTTCACAACTCGACTGATCAGATTATCAACGTCAAATCAGTTTCTACAAACCTTGCGTTAATTTTCATTCTTTCTAATCTTAGCAGATTACGATTACTTAGTGCGCGTAATTTTGACGCTAAAAGAGCCGAAGATTCGGAACAATCTTGCAGACAGCCGTCTTTCTTTCTCGAGACGTTCAGCTAAGAGCTTGAAAATGTCCTCGAAAACTTACTTTATTTATAATTTAATAGAGATCTATAAAAGTTACAGAATTTGTGAATACTCGAGAAATATATCCCTCGTCAGTTCGGCTCTTCCGGCGTCGAGTTTTTTTTTTCGATCTTTCGCTATTCTTCCGTGTGTAATATTTATTTTACGATAATTTCGAAACGTGTTGTTCGCAGATAATTTGCACGACCGTGTCGGACAGTCGCGTTTGAGGCACTCGCGCCGCGGAAAGTCGCTCAAGAGGAAAGTGAGAAAAAACGCGTTTTTTTTCTGATCGGGGGAGATCATCGCTAAGGTAAGCGTCTATAAACATCACGAATGGATAGCAGTTGCGGATTAGCGTCGAGACATCGCTGATATATTCGTACAAGACCAAAAAATAGTCATTTGTAACCGGTTATCGAGAATGAATGAAGTAGTCTTCTAGTAGGCGACTATCGTCCATCGCGACGGACTATTGTTACCGTCTCCGAAGAACGCAGGCGAGTATTTTTTGCTCTCGCTCTCTCCGCTTCTTATCGCCTTTCCTTAAGTACCGAATATAATATTACCATTACTATCATTATCATTTACGTCTACATGTTCAGCGTCTATACGCGCCGCCTTCGTCCCTCGGCGCTATCACCTTACTTCGCTGTCATTAATCACTATTTTGTGTCGTTATAATAAAATACGTCAATATATATATATATATATATATATATATATATATATATATATATATGCAATATGTATATACGTATACATATACAAGGTTCACGCGATCGAACTCTTAACGTCTACTGCAATGAAAAAAATATGTTTCCATTTTTATGACTTTTTCTCAGCACTTCGGAGTTTTCCTAAAGATTTATCGTTATCGTATACGCGCAGCTTGCCGAAAGAAACGACGAAATTACGTTGATACACGTTCGTGACGAATCGAGTTATCTTATTTAAGTGGTAATAATAGTCGGCGACCAATTATTATGTTACTTGTGCAATTCGCGACGCGCAGTTAGCCCGAGAGTTGTACAATTATTCTCTTTAAGTACCGACTAAAAAAAGCACTCGAAGTCGGACGTTGCGGATTGGAGCTTTTGTGGACGATTAGAGTGTTGGCTCGATAGAAATCCTTTGTTCATTAATGCAGCATAAAATCAATTAGACGGTGACGTAGACGAAGATAAATAAGAGCTAGTAAGATATTGTGTTACATCAATTGGCGTTTGCGGAAACACCGTAATATCTTTTTTTTTTGCCGATAACGTTGTCGTGACGGTAATTTCTAGAAATCGGAAACGGAAAATTGTTGAGAATTATACGGGGAATTGCAGTAAGACGACGTAGACCGCCTGACTACCGGCATTTGAAAAGCGTCTGAAGCGGGAAATATCACTTTCTACGGGGACAAAACGCGTACAAAAACCCTAGTCGTATAAATAAGTCTATAAGCGCTTAACAGGACGATATCTCTTAAGGTAGTCGTTACAGTAGTAATGCGATAGCGTGTTGCGCGCGCTAACTTTTCTTTCCTTTTTTTTAACGGCACTATATATATAATATGTTATTACCAACAATGTGCAGTTTTTCGATAAAAAAAAAAAAAAAAAAAAAAAAAAAAAAAATACGATACGGGATGCTAACCCGTAGAAATGATAGGAAATAATCGTTTACAAAACTATCCCTAAACGTAAAAGTAACCGTACGAAGTTCACGATATGCCGTTGCATTCGTACATAGCCGTACGAAACGATCAGTAATTTCTACATTCACATAATAGCGACAGTATTTTTACATCCGATAATAGAGCGGCGGATAATAATAACAAAATTGCAGAACCCGCGAGCATTACGAGTGGTCTTGTTCGCTTGCGAAAAAGAGACGCGTCTATTTAGCATTTTCGAAACACCCTCTTCTCGAGATGCGCCGACACTTTGTACTGAAAATCGCGCTGCCGGCTGTCTCTCCTTCGCGTATCAGCGGTGTGCAATTGATAAAACGCAATAAATTACGATTGAAACGTGTTTGGGGAACGTTCGGAGAAAAGATCGAGTCACAAAGTCGAACGCGCCGTCTTAGAACTATCGTCTCGTTATCCTTATCCACTCGATAGTAGTTTTCTATCTCTCTCTTTTTGTTTGTGTTGTGTATGTGTATATGTATGCGGTGAGTATACAGAATACATCCATTCGCCGTCGGAGAAGAATGAGGCTTTAGAGCGAACACCCTAGGCATTTGCTGGTGTTATCAGTCACTTGTTTCCGGAACGGCAGCGTGTTTTCGCCGCCAATTCTTCGAGACGGAGGCAGATCGTGGGGTTAGCGATTAATAGATCAGTTTAAATAATGCAATTGTATGTGTGGGTTAGCGAAGACAGCGTGGTTGAGAGATTCTTTGGAAAAGTTTCGAGAGGACGAGTGGCTCGTAGATGGTAGACGGACTCATCGCGCGTCTTTCGCCGTCAGTTTCTCTATTAGCTCCTGCAGAGGCGCCAATTCTCTTCTCTCGATCAAATTAAATTCCTATAATGCGAGATCAGTAGCGTTAGATAGCAGAAATAAACATTAGATATCAGAAATAAACTCAAATAATAAGGTATTACAGCTATATGCATTATCATATCACCTGAAAAAATGTTATCATTACTCTTGTTATCGATTTATCCTCTTAATCTTTTTTAAATGAGACTATGATTATATACCTGAACGAAGAATATGAAATGCTTGAACGACGTGTTTAAGTGCGCCTCCTCGCCGAGCTGCACGACTTCGCTAAAGTGTTGATGGTAGATGTGAGCGTACACTCTGAATAACCGCTTCAGGATAGTCTTCGCGATAGACAAGAAATTTTTAGGGAAAGGAACTCCTGCAAAGAGAATAATCGAGAATTAGTTTTCGGCTCGGGGATAATTGGCGAGAGAGAGAGAAAGCGTAAAGAAAATAATACAATTACCGATTTTGGATGGAAATAGAGTCTCGTCGTCCAATTGATCTTGCACCCAGGTCATTAAGTAGTCTATGTATTTGGGTGCCGAGCATTTGATAGGCTTTTTCACTGTGTGGCCGTCGGCCCAGTGATATTCGTACTTCGGTCCGGCCGACATTATGGGACAACTCTCCTCCGTGCAGAATTCTGTGATGGTGCCGTACAGCATGTTGATTTGATTGAAAAAATCAACGGCTAGGGAGAAGAGACAGAATGACGTTTAGATCTGGTCGATGCGTGGTACACAATGAGAACGGAAAACGGGCGTTTCGACTTACTGTTAACGGCGACCCACTCGTTCAGATCCTCTCCTTCGGGAAGCATAACGGCCAGTCGCAAATTACCAGAGCCTAGCGTAGCAGCGGCATGTTTCATCAGGTCGTACTGATGAGTGCCCTCCGGGATATTTTTCTTTGGTTTAAAGGTCTTCGAAGACCTGCTCCCACTGAGAGAGAAAAGATAAAAGGACAAATATCAGAAGAGCATTATTTGTGATTTCTATTTGCTACTAGGAGATTTGAAGTTATTTCTCTAATACTGTAGATCGATATTTACTATATGATACTATAATTAATTATGTATCTTTACTTCGGAATCTGAAGTATGAAACAAGACAAAAAGATATCGTATAAATGTAGGTCGTTTATCGCTACAGATAACTCGATTAACTGCCGACTTATATTCCTGTTATTGATAAGATTAAAAATGGCAAGTATCAAGAAATTTAATTAAAAATTAGAGATGTGTATAATACGTGATTCCAAGTTTACTCCTATTACTTTATTTACCAAAATTTTTATTTCAATAATTTTATCTTCTAATTTACCAGAAATTGCATTTCTTCAACAAACAAACAAAAAATAAATTCTCCGTTTAACTATGCCCTTCTACACTCCCTGAAATATTTAAACAAAGTCTAAAAGTCTAAAATATATATGTATATTCGTTTTCTCACACGCAGAAATGCATAAAAGTGATTTTGTATTAAACTTTCTATTGAATATGATATTCTCCTACATTCAGCAAAAATTCAACCCTCTCTTCTTTCTCCTCCAAAAACACGCCTACACTTGCTGCGTAATGAGCAACAAGAAGCAAGTGAGCAAAAGAGCAAACATCATCTCCCTTTCTCTTTCTCCGTTTAGCTACGTCTCTTTACGCTTTCTCTCCTCGATCGCCTCTCTTCTCCCCACGGAAAAGCCTAAATATACTTTTCGTTGCAGACGCGAAAAACGTGAAGGACGGCGCAGCTGGAAGGAAAAAAAAAGAAGAAGACGAAGAAGAGAGAAATCGCGCTTGGCCGCGAGTTGTGACGCTCAGCTGATCGTGATCGCGCGCACGCAGAAAGCGGCGGCTGCCCGTTATTTATCGCGGATGTCAAAGCGGACATCGAGAGCGTCGGCGTCGAGCGGGGACTCTCGATGACGACGAGGAGACCACAAGGCGCGGCCACCGAGACCGATGATTCATAGATTACGCGCCGCGTCGAGCGATAATCCTGACCACGGTCGTGGAACATGGTGGGTCCCGCGGGAAGACGCGCAAAGGGAAGAGCCGCCCGCGCGCGCGATAGGCGTGCTATTTTTACCCTCGATCGATCCACCGGCGGACGGCATCGACTCACCCTCGTCGAGTTCGTCGTCGTGGAGAACCGATAAATTCGATTTTTAGATTAGATACAGAAAAAAAGAAAGAAAGAGAAAGAAGAAAGGAGAACGTCCCGGAGTGGAACGAAAAACAAAGATTCGCGGATCCTAAAAGAAAAAAAAAAACAAGTCGTCAGCTGTCACCGGAGGAGACGGACAAGGGAGGGACCTCGTCGGCCTCGTCGCGTCCTCGTACTTCCTGCAAGGATGTATCGATCGGACGAGGGCGGCGATTCAATTCGACTCGACTGGACGGAGGTGGAGAAAGTCGCGCGGGCGAAGAGAGGAGCAACTCACAATAGGAAACTCATCGTGACGGCTCGTCGTAGCTGTATATAGCTGGGTCGCTCCGCTCGTTGGGCCCGCTCTCGCCCGTTCCGCTCGGTCGCGTTGTCCGCTGCCTGCGTCCTCGCTCAACTGGACTTACTGGACGCGTGTAACGAGACGACGGACCGTGGGATTATCACGACGACGAGAACGTGTCAGTCGGCCGGCCGCCGCACTCGCGCGCGCGATCGCCTCCTCGCGGTTCTACCCGCTCTTCCCTATCCCGTAAACGTTGCTGTGCGTGCCGGGAAAGACCGAGTCGCCGTCGCGCAACCCAGACCGCCCGCTGCGTCGTCGTCCGTCCACTACTCCGCTAATAAGTCGTCCGGTTTCTCTCGCGCTCCTTCTCTCCTTCTCTGTTTCTCCTTCAGCCTGCGAGACGGTGCGGGAGCACCGATCCGGCAAGAGTCACGGCGACGTGGCAGAAAATCCATTGACTACTACAACGGCGAGTCGCACGTCGCACGTTAGAAATTCACCAAACTATAATACGGATAGATCATATAATTATAGATTTATATAAATAGATCGTAGATTTATATTAGATAAACCGTCGATTTATATAAATAGACTGTAGATTTATATAAATAAATCATAGATTTATATAGGTAGATCATAAATGTAGATAGATGTAAATTAAAATTATATGCGGATAAACTGCATTACAATAGCTGACAGCACATTAAAAATACAGAGATAGGCTGCGGTCCACTTGCGCTACAAATGCTCCGAAGCATTCTTTTTCTTCTTTCTTTCAATGAAGAAAGAAGGAGAAGAAGAACGTTTCGAAGCATTTGTATAGCGTCAAATGGACCGCGGCCATATATGCATGATCAAATGGTTTCTTACATAGGCTATACGGTCAACGTGACGCTACAAATGCTTTGAAGCGTTCTTCTTCTCTTTCTTCCAATGAAGAAAAGAGAAGAAGAAAAGAACGTTTCAAAGAATTTGTAGCGTCACGTTGACCGTAGCCATAATACATCAGAGAGAAAGGATATATAAGGAGAATATATAAGAATAAGAATAAGAGAGAAGATAATACGAATATCTCCTTCCAATGAAAGATTTATTTAATCTTCTTTCATATTATATGACTTTAAATTCACTAATAGCCGCGTTCAGCAGACAATTAATTGTTGAGTTCGTCTTATCAACACTCTGCGTTGATTGGTTGGTTCTAAAAGTAAGAGCCAATCACGTTCGACTGCTACTGCGCGGCGTCTGCTGAACGCGTCCCAATGGCCGCGTTCAGCAGATACAACTGTTGAGTTCGTCTTATCAACACTCTGCGTTGATTGGTTGGTTCTAAAAGTAAGAGCCAATTACGTTCGACTGCTATGAGCGGCTTGGTCTGCTGAACGCGCCCAATGCTGCTCCGTCTTCGCGCTTCCGAAGAGGGCGCGCGCAGCAGTCTTTATGGAAACGCGGCTTGCGTTGCTCATATATCGAAATCATCAAACGCGCCGCCATCACGCGCCATTTTGCGTTCACGAATTCTTCGGTTCATCGGTGGTGTTGGTCCTCGGTTCGTCGTAGAAACCGATTCCGAGGACAATACTGCGGGCTGTGGGTGTTCCGTTTTTCTAATTGATCGCTACAATCGACCTTGGTTCTACGAGGACGGTGTTTCGACGCCTTCGCGGCGGTAAGTTGAGCAAAGTTGGATTCCGGCATCGCGAATCCGTCTTCGATCGCGTTTCTCGCAAACGGCGTTTCCCCATCCAGGTAGTTTTCCCCGCGAGACACCGTAGATTCACTACGTATTTGTTTCCTGCGTCTACGCGCAATGTGATTTTAGATTCTCCACCTCGTTAATTCTCCTACGTGATTTTGCTTTTGAGTTAAAAGCGAATGTGCGAGCGCAGTCGAGTCCGGCTGACCGGACGACCGAACCTTGTCTCGTTCCTCTGTCAATATTTTCTCGTTTAACCTTGTCTCGTTTCTCCCTATCGATACTCAGTATCCGAAAGCGATTCGAAGTCAACGGAAATCCGGGAAATCCTCGCGGTATCCCAGTTTTCGTCTTTTTCTTCCTTTTTATTATTTTTGTTTACGATCGGTGTATGTTTCTTGCACGGGCGCAGCTTCCAAAATGTCGACGTAAACCTTATTACGTTATATCTTGATGTTTCGGAAGCTCGACCGCCGCGAAATTGCTGGTACTCGATAACTCGATATGCTCGAGTCTTGTCTCTGTTGCACAATTAACGTCGTTGTGTTAAACCAAGCGAACTATCTCATCTTTGTATTTACAGGCATTGTTCGGAGCGAGATCATATTAGATTAGAACCATGTCGAGCGGCAGTGGGGATCACGAGGAGGAAGGATACGTTGTTAAGGTGCGCGGGCTGCCGTGGTCCACCACCGTGGACGAGATCATGAAGTTCTTCGGCGACTGTTCAATCTCGAATGGCAAGAATGGAGTTCATATGACTACGTCTCGTGAGGGGCGCCCCAGTGGGGAAGCCTACGTGGAAATGGATACTCCGGAAGATATCGAGAAGGCATGCAAAAGAGATAGGGATCATATGGGCCATCGCTATATTGAAGGTTGATTTATTTATATTTTAAATTAATTCTCTTAACGTATTTAGAATTTCTTTTATGGTTCTTTATGACTTGTTTATCTGTTTATGAATGTTCCTGAGATACTGAGATACCAAGTTTCTTATTTTTATATTTTTAATCTACGAATATATCTGTAGAGATATATTTGTAGAAGTATATTAAATGAACTTAGATGTTAAATAAGTATATTGTGATAAATAAGAAAGTTATCTTTTTTTCTCTTGTTACGATATACATTGTATTATCTGTGTCACTAAATCTTTTGTAATAATTCATGTATCGTTACTGTTTTATAGTTTTTAAAGCAAAACGCGGCGAGATGGAATGGGTCGTGAAGAGGAGCGGTCTTAATTTGGAGAACGCGATGGACGACGGTTGCGTGAGATTGCGCGGCCTACCTTTTGGTTGTTCGAAAGAGGAAATTGCGCAATTCTTCTCAGGTACTTGACACGCGACAATCAAAGTATTCAGTATCAATGCTTTTTAATTGATACCCAAGTGTCATTGAGATTTTATTTAATCCTTGGAAAGCAGACACCTGTTCATCTTTTTTAAATACGTAACTTTCTTTCTATTTTTATACTCCCCTTTTCATAAGACGAAAGTAAATAGACGAAATTTGACAATTATCTCAGGAACGCAGCGACGGAATACTTTCGATGGCTTTATAGCAGACTAAAATTACTATCTCACATTAGCAAATCCCAGCAAGCTGCAACAATTGCTCCCTAATGTTACGTGCTTATTCTAAAATTGGCTACTAAAAGTAACAAGATAACGAGAGTAGCAGAAATTAAATACCATCTAAAGCGACGTCTCTGTATCCTGATATCGACGATTAGCCTCAGTTAAGATTTAAGATCCCGCTAAGATCTGAGTTGTGCCATACGAGCGCGCCGTTGATTTATGATTTTATGATTTGTACAAACGAGACAAAAGTATTTTCACTGCGCGACTCGGTGATCAAGCTTAATTCTTAACTTTGGTTTTCGGCGTGGCAATTTTAATATCCTAATTCATATAAGGAGAATCACGAAGAGAAAGAAGGAAGAAAGAAAAATAAAATGCGCACTTGTATGCGCGATATTAGAGTTTAAAGAAAAGAATCTTGCTTTTTTTTGTAAGGGTTTTTAATAAGCTTGACCATAACTTCTTTTTCCTAATGGGTTTTCCTATAAGTTACAATATCGATGTTTGATTATGTGTGGGTCAGGGTTGGAGATTTTGCCGAACGGGATTTCACTACCGACAGACTACACGGGCCGCAGTACTGGGGAGGCTTACGTTCAATTTGTTAACAAAGATGTTGCGGAGCGCGCTCTGCAGAAACACAAGGAAAAGATAGGCCACAGGTGGGGCACTGAGACGGTATAGCTGGGTTCGGGTATACTCTTATGACTTTTCCATATCATTTATATTATTGATCGTAGTACATGTAGGTATATACATTTCGTTTAGTAAATAGTGGGAACGAATTCTACGATACGGATGCAGCTTCTTTATCATTCCTTGAAGAGGAGATTTTTCTCGCGAATATAAAAATGGAGAAACCGTTACATTTGTATCGTTATTGAGCTACTCAGCGTATATATATACATATATATATGTATATATATACATGTGTGTGTTCGCACGTTTTAAGAGTTCACGACGTAAACTAGTTTGAGAAACTCCTGACCCTCACCGTGTCGAGATGGTTCCTCGATGAATTGCAGACTTTATGACAAACAAATGAACTTTTTTTTTCCTTTTTGGTTGTGAAAGAGGATCGCCTCTTGAGAACTTTTTTCTTATCTGATATAAAGAAACTGCCTCTCTCAAAACACAATTACAACCAGATAATCGTACGTAAGCGAAAGTACTGTGGACCTGTGGCACTACTTATATCCGTGGGTGGGTGCCGGGGGGCGGGAGATAGCCCCTTACCATCATCACCAAATCCCATGGGAGGTGGGTAGGGCAATCCAAAGCTCGGTGGGCACTACAGACAGAAAGAGAGAGAGAGAGAAAAAGAGATAGTAATCATCGATCCAATACGGCACGTCTATGCTACGCGCATAATTGCATTTTTTTGCAGATGAACGTTAAACTTCGAGATCAAACTATTTACTTTATTACATTAGGAAATTTTTTTATGTTAGCGCGTGATCAATCGATAATCTACGAGTTTCCACGATTTTCATGTCAATAGAAATGTTCACCTGCAAAAAAGGTGCAATTGTGAGCGTGGCTTGCCCGAAGATCGTCGGCGTCGCATGGGCTTGTGTGGGGTACATGTGGCGTGGGTACGTCGGGAAGCGATTTCGTCGTGGGAGGGTCTCTCTTCGCAGGTTTAATAAAAGAATGCGGAGGTTTAGTATAAACACAGTTGTTCTGTCACATTTGTAAACTCAACTTCAATGCCAAACTGACAATTCACAAGTTTCCTCTTTTATTTATTTATTTTTTCTTTCTAATGTGTAAACGTCGTAAATAATTAATCTCTGGCTACTGCAGGAATGGCTCCTCTTTCCACCTTTTCCATTTCTATATAGAGTCTCCGTGTATCACTGTTTTTGTTTTTTTCTCGTCTCTCACCATTTGTTGATCTCTCGAATTAAGTCCGTATCGTTAAATC